TTCATGCTCTACCTAACTTCCTATATTATTATTATTATTGTTATTGTTATTGTTATTGTTATGGATCATCGCACAGTCAGCCAGATGTTCAGACTGGATTTGGCATTTTGTCTACCTATCCAGTCCTTACCCAGGACCTGGGATAGGCAGATGTGGATGTTTGATGGTATTACAGATATCGTCGCAGGATGGAAGCAGTTCCTAGTAAGGCCGCCTTTTGCAATCGACTAATAGCGAATTTGTCAATGCCAATGGTGTTCAATTATTATCATTATTATCATTATAATAATAATGATAATATATAATGCAAGATGATCATGCAGATTGATTACAACAATTTGATTGATTACAACAATTTGATTGATTACAACAATTTGGCAAAGTAGCAACAATGGTGCATTGGAATATCTGCAAGAAATTTGCCTGCCAGCAAGAACTGGTAAGATCACAAAATAAACAAAGAGAAATGAAGAAACCAAAGTGCACTGGGACTTTAGAATTCAAACAGACAACCATCTGCCACACAACACTCCAGACTTAACAATTATTGAGAAGAAAGACAAAACAATCTGGATAGTGCAGTACCTGCAGACAGTAGAATACAAGAGAAAGAACTTAAGAAAATAACCAAATATCATTTGATATTATTAAATCACATCTGCCTGTCTCAGATCCTTAGGAAGGACTCGATAGATGGACAAAAATGCCAAAGCCAGGCTAAACATCTGGCTGACTGTGCGGCCAACCACAATAATAAGCTTCCAACACTGCCTTTGTTTCCATGAATTTATCAGGGTTGTCCCTGTCCAGGAAAAGCTGCTTTGCTTGGAAATGTGTCCACTTCCCCAGACACAAAAAGAGACAGGCCTCTGTTTTGCTGGTATGTAACTAATGGCAGCCATTCATGGCACAAGCAAGGTTTCCCCATGGGCGGCAGCTACCTTTGAGTGTCTATGATAAGTTCTCAAGGATGAAGAAGTGTCCCCTTTGAACTAGTACATGTCAATCAGAGGCAGTACAGTACAGGTAGTCCTTGACTTACAACATTGCATTTAATGACCGTTTGAAGTTACAACGACGCTAAAAAAAAGTGACTTATGATTGTTTTTCACACTTCCAACGGTTGCAGCATCCCCATCGTCACGTGCCCAAAATTAAGGCGCTTGGAAACTGGCTCGTATTCATGACGGTTGCAGTGTCCTGGGGTCACGTGATCCCCTTTTGCGACCTTCCGAGAAGCAAAATCAACGGGGAAGCTGGATTCACTTAACAACACTGTTCATAACTTAACAACTGCAGCGATTCACTTAACGACTGTAGAAAAGAAAGATTGTAAAATGGGACAAAACTCACTTAGCAATTGTCTCACTTAGCAATCTAAATTTTGGGCTCAGTTGTGCTCCTAAGTCAAGGATTACCTGTAGTTGACCAAACAGGGACAGCTAGAAAAAAGTAGAGCATCAAGAGGACCAGAAAAAAAAGCTTAGCCAGGTTTTTAGGGATGCTGACCTCTGACCCAAGACTCATCTTTGGTTACTTACTACTAATCCCATGTATGTTGACCCTGGGGATTTGGGGAAACTTCTAAGAGAGGGCTTTTCTCTCTCCTTTGCTACTATCCACTCCCACACCAAACTGTCCAAAGCTTGTTCACAGAAGCCCGTACAGTATTGCAGCTGCTTGTATCTTGGAAATAGAGGAACATTTTCAGGAACCAAGGTGGTCTCCATTGCTTATGCAGCACATGGTTCTCTACTTGTGGCATTTGGGTTTTCTCCAGCAGAGAACACAGATAGACCTGTGTGGACCTTTGGCCTTACTTGCACAGGTGGAGATGGAGCAGTTGGGTAGGAAATCACAAATGTTTGCCTCAAACTCATCCCTTTGGCATCCCGAAGGTGGATTTGTAGTGTTGAGACAATCTGCATCCCATTCTCTCCTCTCCAATCCTCCCTGAATTAAAGGACAGTAGAGGACCACAATTTTGCCTTCAACGTGACCAGGATCTTGGCAGCAATCTGTAAGAGCAGAAATGAAAGAGTTAGTCTTACTTAGTTACAAAAGAAGGAGCTCAAACCAGCTCTCTGGTTCACACTGATAACAGCCCAGGAATCAAAATTTTGGTCTAACGTGATATAGGACAAGACCGAACAGTCCAGCTGCATACCAACCGATGCAGCGGTGAGGATGGCCAAAAAGATCATTGGCAGTTCCCTCCCTCCCATCCAGGACATAGCACAGAAGCGCTGCCTGAGCAGAGTCCATAAGATTATCTGGGACACTACACATCCTCTTCAGACCTATTTTCCTTGTTACCTTCTGGGAGGAGGCTTCGTGTTATCCGTAGCAGAACATCCAGATTTAGCTATAGTTTCATTCCATACAACATTAACTTTGTGAACTCTCAAGCTTCCTCCTTCTGTTGTATATTCAAGATGGACAGTATTTAATATTTATTTGCTATGTATATGTAGGGGTGGGGTCTATACATATGTTGTACATAGTATGTTTAGGTGTGTGTCATGTATGTGTTTCACTTTGAGAGCAGGCAACTAAATTTCATTTTTGATGTGTGCCATTTTGCCCACAGTAAAAAAATGACAATAAAGGTTATCTTGTCTTATCTTATCTTGAACTGACCGTACTGAAAACATCTTGCTTGAACCTGATTGGTCATTGGCGGGGGGGGGGGTTTGTCAGTGATGGGAATCAGTTATGGGAAGGAAAAGTTGAACTTAGGGATTTTGGTGCATGATTCTCAGTTCTGGCTATACATTACTGCCATACACTTGACTCATAATGAAACTATCCTTTCTCAACAAATGAAGCCAAGGATTCTTTCTAATTAGGTTTTTAAATTGTGGCAGGTGTGACATCTATACTTTTCTTAGTGGAAGAGACAACAGCTTCGGGATGTGTGGGTCAACAGCTGCCAAGGGAACAATGGTTCAGAGGCAAAGCTCACACCTTGCATGTAGAAAGACTAAGGTTCAATTCCTGGCATTTCCAAGGGTTCTGAAATCCTGAAGACCAGCTCAAGTGCAGAGGATCCTTCCCCAACCAGTACCCAAAACCCACCAGGTTTTCTAGCAAGTAACAGAAATGGATCCCAGGACCTGCAAATTTAAATATCTGGAGAGCACTACATTTTTGGTAGACAGTGCTGAGTTACAAAAATCCATGGTCTAACTTGATATAGGACAAGATCAAACGTTCCCGCATAGAAAGTGGAAGCATTGCTAACGGTCCAATCTCTGACATTTTTCCCATAAATGGTAATAACACATCTCCTGTGTTAAATTGCACATCTTGTTCAACCTTTATTTGGGAAGATTCCTAAGCTTCTAAAGGGCCTTCGTTTACTTACCAATACTTTGCTGATGAGCTGGGATTTGTTTATTTTGTCCTTCTGTGAGAGGAGGGAGAAAAAAAAACACAGAGAGAAATAGTTAAACTGTTCTATATGTGCAATCTCTTTGAAGCTTTGCAGTGTGCATCAAACAAAAAGATTAAACAAAAGACTTCTTAGTTCACACCAACACAAAGGGTTTTGATTCAACTTGTGGGATCAAACTAAAAGGACCAAAAACCTTGATGAAAGAGGCAACCTATGTCTCTTTTTTGTTCACAGAGAGGAGTATTCATTAACCTGCTGCCCTTAATCTTCAGGGTTTTGTTAAATTTCACCATTCATACCCTTCCAGATCAAAGCTTTCAGAGGTCTATTCCATCAGTCCTTCTTGTTTTTTTAAAAAATATATATTTTTCATCCTGACTGAATATTGGGTATTATTCAGTGATATGATTTTATTAATATATTACTGTGACCTCTGCATTGCTTCGGTCTAACTGTGTCCTAAAACGGGACTAGAATTCACAGTCTCCTGGTTTCTAGGCCAACATCATAACCACCACACAAAAGAGAAAGATTAATACTTCAGATAATAGGAAAGTATTACATTGGAAAACCTATTTTTCCTTGGGATCAATCTGGACATGTCTATCCACGTTCCTGCCCCCTCTGTACAGTAATTGGATCATAGCTTTTGCTCGTATTAATTTATTTATGTTTTTTAGTGTATATGTATATTTATTTTTTAGGACTGTAAACCGCTCAGAATTACCCTGGGGTAAGATGGGCGGCCAATTAATTCATTAAATAATGTGATATTCAGAATATCAGGGAAGAGAAAGGAGTTTGCAGTGGCTTCTCTGCTTCTTCCTGTTAAACTCATTCCTTTCCTTATTCAGGGTTAAAGTACATTGGTGAACATGCAAGTAGCAAATGAAGGTTTTGTTTTTTTTTTTAAGTGACAACTATAATGGACAAGCTCTTTTATGAGATGGCAAA